GGGGTGGCACTTTAACTTTAAACTTTACAGGTTAAAGTGGTTAAAGTTTAAAGTAGTACTTTAACTTTAACTTTAAAAAATTTAAAGTTAAAGTAAATGTTTCACTATAAAAAAAAATTTTCTTAAAAATTCATCGAAGTGAATAAACATTTATGGAAGTACCCATAACTCTTCATGCACTGTGAAACGGGGTTATCGATTGGCAATCATCTACTAGATATTGGAGGTACCCTTGGGTCATCATATACTATATATTGGGGGTACCCTTGGGTTATCATATAATTTATATTGGGGGTACGCTTGGATGGGGTGGCACTTGAACTTCAAACTTTAAATGTTAAAGTGGTTTAAGTGTAAGGTACTATTTTAAAATTTAACTTTAAACTTTTTAAAGTTAAAGTATAGAGTTTTGTTACGAAAAAGTTTTGGTAAGAGAAGAATGAAATGTAAGAAAGGTTTAAGGAAGGAAACCAGTTTGGAGCAAGCAGAATGTGCTATTGTTAGCTCGTTTTTACGAGCTGATGTTTATTTATTTCAAAAGATATCTGACTGACTGCAAAATGTCCTTAACCACACGTACATATATATAAACATACAATGGAGAATAGAATAAAGAAAAAAAGAATAACAATTACAAAGAGAGACAGAGAGAGAGAGAGCAAGGACCAGGATAGGTATGAGTCACCGTTAACAGCTATCAACTTCTGAAAAGACTACACTTAGTATCTTTCTGAACTTAGCTATCATGGAGCTTCCCAGATATTGCGTGAACTTAACAGTTGATAAACTTAACCAAAGAGAAGGGTCGCCTTCATCCGTTTAGTCTTTGTTCAAAGTTATTGTGCCAATCTTATTTATCCTTGATATTGCTCCACTCGGAAAAAATGTAAGCGAAAATACTCCTTTATTTCACACCAAGATATCAGTGCAGGGTGGCGCAAAAGTCACGCACCCCACAAAAAAATTGAGTGTCACCATTATGGCTTGACCAAACGGGCTTATTTTTTTACCAAGGATAGAGGCATGTTCACAGTCAAAATTCATACGGACAAGATTAATGAGAACCTTTGTTAAGTATCACCATTGATCTGAACAAGATAATTTTCCTTTTTCACAGATAAGAAAAGAAACAACATACAGGATAGTGCAAAAGTCACTTAATCGAAAAGAAAATTGAATATCTCCATTACGGCTCGAGAAAACCAACTGATCTATTTACCAAAGGGGAGNAACCAATTTCAACAATACTTTCAATCAAAAACAAATATGCCTGCTCTTCAGCCATCGTCTTTCAAATTTCTCTTACGCTTTCCTGGTGAATTCGAATATGAATGGAAAAGAAATCGCAATTATGCATGGCCATTCGAAACCATTAACATTGATTACTGTCTTGAAGAGCATCGTCTATCTTATTTCAAATACTGGCGTGCAAGGCTGGAGCCACCAATACCGAAATATTCTCTTCTTATTTTCACTATTTCGGCTCTGCCTTACCGTCGAACTGTACATAATCATTCTTTTGCAATGAAACTTAAACAAACATCACAAACATCATCAATTTTATGGACTTGTAATCAGATTGACAATTCACAACAAATTTTTGATAGTCTAACCAAGTTAAAAACGACAAAGACACTTGATATTAGTGATTGGAAGGGAACACACTCACAGAATGTACGTTGAAAAGCTGCATCAAACAGTGATTAGTATATTTTTTAGTACTTTAGTTCATTCTGTGCATGGAAAAAAAGCATCGCTTTAAATCTTTTAATTTCACTTATATTTTTTACTTCATCTTCAGCAAGTAGTTGAGGCAAAGTTTTGTTTCGTCATTTTATGTTATCAGACCAGCGTTCAGTTTTAAAAGGGTGAATTTTATTATCTATTTGAAAAATTTATAAGTACTGTAAATATTAAGCATAGCTTATCGGGACAACTTTCACCGAAGAACATCCTTGACCATATAATTTCAAATTCTGTGTGTTATCTTAAATAATTTTAATGAATTTGCATCACAAGGTTTAGGTAAATCATAAAAAGAAAACATCATCTTAGATATGAATAGGATCTAGTAGTATCTATAAATCAAATGAAATAAAAGCTTTTAAGCTTTTATTTCTAAATTAAGTCGTACAGAATCGAATCAGAAAATAAAATACTGACCGACATCTCAATCTATAAAGATCAGACAAAATTATCCTATACCTATACCTCCACCTTGGATCTTATTCTCATATTAATGGACAGTAACGAACTGTGATATTTTGACAGTGCATCAATATCTCATATAATATTGTGTTTCAGTCAGCAAGACATACTAGAGTTGCTTTTTTTTCAAGTTTTCATTTTTATTCTACAGGATCTGTCTGTTAAAACTAAAGCGCATTGAGGAGAATTCAATATAAGCTTAGTCTGAATAACCAACGTCACAAACGAAAGAAAAATTGGCGATGAATTTAATGAGTCTACTGACACATCAGAGTTAAACATTGAGATGTTTCTGTTATTTTGTTTTTAGGCATCTGCAAAGTTAATCATTTTTTCATCAATCTTCGATCAACCTCGATTAGATAATCTTCATTCACTGTCGTTCTTCGAAACGGAAAACGAAAATGAATTCTTTTCAACGTCACAATCCCATCACTTTGTTGACATCATTCTGCGAGGAACGCCTAATCTTGTCCAATTAACCATTAATTGGGACTATGTAATGCTTATTGATTCGGCTTTTGGTAATGGACGCTTTGCTGATTCACCTCTTTTCAATCTGCGTCATTTACATTTGCGCTATTACAATCGATACAGTAAATAATTTATTTTATTGTTTTGAAGTACTGTGAGAAAGAGCACAAAGAAAATAGAAGAAAGTGTATGTGTAAGCTAATTTTTCAAATCTTAAGAGTGACTCCCTAGAAAAATCGGAAATCTATTACATCTCAGACGTATAGGGGTGCATCAAATCCAAATCCAGTCAAACCCAAATCCAATTCTTCGTTTGGATTTGACTAAGTTTGGATTTGGGTTTGACTGGATTTGACTTAGATTTGACCGGATTAGGGGTGGAGCTTTAAGTTTAAAAAATTTAAAGTTAAAGTAAACGTTTTCTTATAAACCAAAATTTTTCTTAAAAGTTCAGAAAAATGAATAAACTTTTATGAAAGTACCCATACATCTTCATGCACTATAAAAGGGAGTCATCCATAGATAATCATCCAATATACATTGGGGGTACCTTTGGGTCATCAACCACTATATATTAGGGGTACCCTTGAGCCATCAACTACTGTATATTGGGGGTACTCTTGGGTTATCAACTACTATATATTGGGTACCTTGGGTCATCAACTACCATATATTGGGGGTACCCTCGAGTAATCATATACTATATATTATGGGTACCCTTGGGTCATCATATACAATATATCAGGGGTACCCTTGGGTCATCAACTACTGTATATTGGGGGTACTCTTGGGTTATCAACTACTATATATTGGGTACCCTTGGGTCATCAACTACCATATATTGGGGGTACCCTCGAGTCATCATATACTATATATTGGGGATACCCTTGGGTCATCAACTACTATGTATTAGGGGTACCCTTGGATCATCATAATAAATATATATATATAATATTTTCAGGAAAGAACTGCTAGCAATATGGCATTCTTAGCAATCTCGAAAGACTACTAAGTTTGCTGGAAGTTATTAACGATGCTGTAGTGGAATATTCCATAAACTACTCTGATAAATATGATCTATGAACATATCATATCATTATTCGAAATAAACTTATTGAATCAAAGTATAGTACAGAGATTAACATTTTTTTTCATTGAACCACTTTTGACTCATTCTGTATGGTTTGTAATTATATGATAAAAATGTGTATGAAAAATACTTCAGTGGTGATTACTTTCCATTTTTTTATAAAGAAAAAAAACTGACATTGATCCAATTGAATGAGTAGATTTACGAGAGCTCAGTAAATGTTGACTTGTATTCTATATATTATCGATCTGAAAACCAGATATTTCGATTTAATTTTATATTTATCGAATATTTTACAAGGAAGAGACTATATGAATGATGACCGAATTTCTTGAGAACGTCTTTCGGCTAACATGATGACGAAAAATTATTAATTTTCTACTAATGCATTTTTCATATACATTTTATTTCACAGAACAACTGTGGCTATCTTAAAAAATATACTATACACTAAATAATGTATTGGTTGAATTAGTACGCTCTATTGACTGAACTCTCTTGCTTTTACTTCACTCTTAATTACTTACTGATTATGATGATATATTTTAAGTCATACGAAAGTTCAATACACATCAACAAAAGCAGTCTCGATCGGCGATAGTCGTACTAGTAGCAAATAGCCACTGATTCCAACATCGTAAGTCATTGATCGCTGTTACTTCTAGATAAAAAACACTACTTTTGAGAAGTGGCAAATTTCTCTCAAATTATGAATAAACTTGAATTAGATAGAAATTTCTGTACCTAAATCAGTTTATTTAGATGGATAATTTTATTTCTAAATACATGCGAATATTTCAACAAGATTATGATTGTGTATAAAGCTAACTGAGCGTAAAAACACTTGAGGGGTCGATTGTAGTGTGAGATATCTTGACCAAGAAAAATGCGCTATGCCAAACTTTAAAAAATGTTGTGATGTCTAAAAGAGAGAATTGAGAATTCCTTACAACTATTAACATATTCAAAATTCTTCACCTCCAGATAACATTTATCATATTAGTGGGCATTTTGAGGATAGTATGAATTTTTATAAAATATGGACTCCGAGTGTTGAAAAGTAGCTGTACTTTTACTTTAACCTTAACTTATTCAAAGGAAAGTTTTAATGTATCACTAGTTCAAACTTTAAACTTCAAAGTGAAACTTTAAATTGAAGTTAAAGTGCCATCCAGAGTAATGAATACCCACTTTCTATAGCACTCAAAAGTTAACAATATTCCCATTATATAGTAGCTGATGACCGATAGGTACCCCATTATAGAGTAGTTCATGAACTATTGAGACTCACCCCTTATATAGCAGTTGATGACTTACGGATAGTACCCTTATATCCTAGTGAATGACAATTGAATACCCTTTTTACATAGTAGTTGATTATCCAAGACTACCCTTATTGCATAGCAGTTGATAACCCAAGGGTACCTCTAATATATAGTAGTTGATGACTCAACGGTACCCCAATATATAGTACATGATGACCCCAGGGTACCCATAATATATGGTATATGATGACCCAAGGGTACCCCCAATATATAGTGGTTGATTATCTATGGATGACTCCCTTTTATAGTGCATGAAGATGTATGGGTACTTTCATAAATGTTTATTCATTTTTCTGAACTTTTAAGAAAAATTTTGGTTTATAGGAAAACGTTTACTTTAACTTTAAATTTTTTAAACTTAAAGTACCACCCCTAATCCAGTCAAATCCAGTCAAATCTAAGTCAAATCTAAGTCAAATCCAGTCAAATCTAAGTCAAATCTAAGTCAAATCCAGTCAAATCTAAGTCAAATCTAAGTCAAATCCAGTCAAATCTAAGTCAAATCTAAGTCAAATCCAGTCGAACCCAAATCCAAATCCAGTCAAACCCAAATCCAAATCTAAGTCAAATCCAAATCTAGTCAAACTCTGTCAAACCCAGGATTTGGGTTTGACTGGATTTGGATATGGTGCACCCCTACAGACGTACGATATATTCAGATCAAAATTCATTTTATACTATGTAACGATTAATAGAATAACTTTAAAAGTGTTCAGATTTTTCTGACGTAATTTGGACTTGCTAAATACACTTTTAAAATGGTCATATAGGAGTTATCTAAGAGCTATCGGTTATCCTCTATTTTAAAGTATGATAATGTTGATAATTGCATGCATTTGAACTTAGAATTTTTGAGTTAGAGATTCATTACTTTTTCGTATACATTATAGATAAGACCATAGTCTAAAAAAGGATTCGTTGAATTTTGATAATCTTCGAAAATTTGCAGGTATTTAGCACGTTGTATCGTGCGTGATGTGTCTCGTATGAAACCAAAGTTAATAATGCAAGATGCTAGCCATTCATCATTTGAATAAAAAATAAAAAATAAAAGACTCTCAATCTCTACTCTTCCTAAGCTAATTCGATATAAATATTGAGTACTTCTACATGATATACATCTCTCTCACTCTCGCTTGTGCTCTTCATTGCTGCCATTTTGTATATGTCAATTAGTCAAGCGATGTACATCGTGTAAAAGCACTAAATATTGTAGGTATTATACACATTTCAATCACAGTTGTATATTAAACCAAAATTGGTAAGATATGTTAAGTGAACATTCCAAAATTTTTGAAAAAGAATTGTATGAAAATTTTCAAAGTTTACTAAAGTATTGCAAAAGTCTTTTGAAGAATACTCTTTATGTTGTATTTTGAAAAACAGCCGACTTCTGACTCAATTTCTTTGTAGTGAATGAATATTTGAAGATTTTTTAAATAGAAAATGGATGCGTTATATGTCTTATAGAACCTCACAGAAAGTTCTGCTTATTAGAAATTTAACAAGCTCTTTGTAAAGACTTAGGAAAAGTCTGAATCTATACAATTTATACCAGTTTTATGTGTCTCTTAGTCAGTAAAAAT